TGGCCTTGAACTCACCTTGTAGCCCCGGCTGGTCTTGAACTCCCAGCAACCCTCTTGCTCCAGCTTCCCAAGTGCTGTAATGGCAGGCATGTGCCACAGTATTCAGCTCCATAGGCTTTTAGAGCCAGGAGAGATTTTAGTCCTTCTGTAAGAATACTGGGGCCAGGGAGATGGCCCAGTAGAATAAGCGCTTCCCTGGCAAGGGCAAGGGCCTGAGTTCAATCCCTGGTTCTGCCAATTAAAAAAAAAAAAAAACCTGTAAGAATACTTCTGCTTTATAAACAGAGACCCAGGTAAAAAGGAACTTGCCTCGTCATACAGCCAGAGGCAAGAGAGGCTGTAGGCTTAAAGTAATTGACTTAGTGGCTACCAGAAGGGAAGGTACTGAAGGGCTCAGCTTCTGAAAATAGACCTTTGTCTGAGACCCACTTTCCTGATTGCCAGAACTCTTAATTTTATGCCACGATCCTAGTATGGAAGATGAAATTAAAATTTGCTTTTATCCATTTTTAGTCCTTTGTTACCAAGAAAAAAGTCAAACTAAAATGCAGCAGTGGTATCAATTTAATTTAGATCTGGGCCTCACCCTTTGGCCTCCTTCCCTCTCGGGTCTTCCTCTGGCAGGATTCCCTGTCCAGGCTGAGGAAGGCCATCCGTGTACATGTACTTTCTTCAGTACCACGTGCTGCTGTGGCTCAAGAGGGGTGTGCTGAGAGTGATGTAGCCAGCTTTCGGGTGCCGTTATTGTAGCGTAATTGGTGTATCAGTTCATAAAGTAGGTTATTGAAAGGATAACAGAACTAACATTTGTTTTTGTCAGGGTATCAAAGATAGGTTTATAGGCAAGAATTCGTGCATTTGCAATTATTAAGGGTCTCTGTTTGCCTGAGTCATGAGTTAGCTCCATGCTATCTCATAATTGGTACACTGCTCCTATGGTACTGAGGTTAAAGGCTTTGGAATGTTATTATTTGTTTTTGTTTGGCAGTATAATGATGTTGTCAGTGCTGAAGAATACCAAGACTCCTGTGAAATTCTGGTTCTTGAAGAATTATTTGTCCCCCACATTTAAGGTTTGTTTCACAGGGAAAAAGAAAACATTTTTATTGAAAGAGGTATCTACAGTATATTTTTACTACTTTTGTTTTATATATATATACTTTAACTTTTTTTCCATTTATTAAGTTACCCATAGTTATGTAGCTCTGTGTTGCATTTTCTCCTAGATTATTCTAGGGGGGAACAATTTATGTAACTAGACACAAAATTATGACTTCTTTGAAACTTCAGTATTGCAGGAGAGCCTGTATCTTTGTAAGAAGGAATGTTTTAATGAAGTAACACTTCCATCTGAGGCTTGCATGTCATTAACTTAAAAAGGTGATAGTGCAGGGTGAGGGGAATCATTAATCCTCACAAACCACTACCAAATGATGTATGCAAATGGTGCTTCTTGTGTGCAAAACCAAAACACACTTGAAAAATTTTCTTCTTTATTTGTATCAGTGAGGTTTTGTTATCTAAATTGATTTTTGGGTAATTCTCTCCCCCACTCACAGAAGTTACTGAACAACTTTTAATGTATTCTGCAATATTTGAGTATTTCTAATGATATCATTAATTTGTTTCTGGTCCCCTGAAGGTACTTTCATTTAGAATCGGAAAGAATCACTAACAGCAGCAAGTATGTCAAGAGTATCTCGGCTTTGCTCTGTTGTTCCCTGGATTAGACCTACCCTTAAGAAATGGAAAAAAATAATAATATTAAAGAAAAGAAATTGAGAAAGGCTTATGTATAATCAAACTGAAGAAATGTTTTACTGAAATCAAGTTTAGAAAAAGACTTAAAGTTCATGTGCCTTATACACACACACACACACACACACACACACACAATTATAAATCTAAAAATCTAAAAGCCTTCATCTATGTTTCTGTCATTTCATTTCACATGGCCAGAAGTTGTAAAGGGGATTTGAGTCAAGGCAGTTCTTTGCTAGGTCAGTGTGTTAGTGAATGTGCTTTACTTGTATCACAGTCATGGTGGGTGACTTACATTCGCTAGTCAGTATTCTTAATCAGAATGAATCTTTGTTTCTCCCTGTGTCTAATCATAGGAGTTTATACCTTACATGGCAAGTGAATATAATTTCCAGTATGAGCTTGTTCAGTACAAATGGCCCCGGTGGCTTCATCAGCAGACTGAAAAACAGCGCATCATCTGGGGCTACAAGATCCTTTTCTTGGATGTGCTTTTCCCACTAGTTGTTGACAAATTCCTGTTTGTGGATGCTGATCAGGTAAGCTGAAAGGCTAGATTTTGTTAATTTATATTAAAGGCAGTAAACTTTCTAAAGCACTATTTTTCCAGTTATGGAAAAGTACCTGCTCATTTTGCACTATTTAGAAGATATGGGAAGATATCTCACAGACTTTATATTAAATGCAGCACACTTCCTCAGTGCTGTTTTTCCAGTTATGGAAAAGTACCTACCCAGATTGGATCACCTTTTAAATTTAATTTACGTTTTAGTATGCATCCTTTTCATTTCTTCTGTTCTTTTAATATAGTTGTGATGGCATCATTATGCAGTCTTACAGATTTCTTAATTGAAGATAAAAACTAGAATTAGAAAATTAAGGCTTAACAGTAGTTGCTGTCCTCTCCTGCTCCACCACTAGGTATTATTGGGTGATGAAGCAGACATGATTCTTGGCTTGGTCATCAAGAGTGCTGCAGGTAGCCTTTAGTTGCCAGGATTTGACATGAGGCAGGTAGTGCATTGTGACTTTAATGACTTCAGTCTCAAATATGTACTGCACTTCTGCCTGAAGCCTTTTGCCTCACCCTCCCGGAGTAGAAAAAGTGTAGTGTGTGTAGAAGTCACCGGACAGAGTTCCACCTGCCTCTCTGGAATTTCTCAGGTGGCTCACCCTGAAGCAAGCTTCCCTGACCTCATCCGGCCATAGTATTCTTTTTGGAGGACTTCTAGTGGCCAAGGCATTGTTCCAGATTTGTCTGCATGTGAACTTGCCTTATCCTGCTGGCAACTCTGAAGTAGGCCATTTTGTGGATGAGGAAACCCAGGGCTAGCGAACCTAAGCACTTGATGTTTGTTTTGTTTCTACTCATGATGGATACCTAGAATCCTGTGTGGTGCACACTAGGCTGAGTGTTAGTGAGTGCTGCCTGCCCTCCAAGCTGCCTTCCATGATGTAACTTGTATTTTAAGGAAATTACATTAAAGCTGTCTTCATAGTGGATGGAAAAATGACTTTGGATATGTTTTTCTCCAGATTGTACGGACAGATCTGAAAGAATTAAGGGATTTTAATTTGGACGGTGCCCCTTATGGTTATACTCCCTTTTGTGACAGCCGAAGAGAAATGGATGGCTACAGGTTCTGGAAGTCGGGATACTGGGCTAGTCATTTAGCTGGGCGGAAGTACCATATCAGGTAGGCATTCAGAAAGGGTACTTCTAGTGACTTGTGCTTTTCTTCTTTTTGACATTTAATTTTGTGCATTTAAAATGGTGAATAGGTAATATATTACTAAGACTTAGGAATGAAAGTTGCGAAAAATAAACAGGACGATGGGCGTAGTAACACATGGCTGTGATCCTTGCCCTTAGGAGGTTGAGATGGGAGAATTGCTGTCAGTTTGAGGCCAGTCTAGAGTATTTAGAAAGACTGTCTTGGCTGCAGAGGAATGGCTGTTGATTCTGGTGGGTACACGCCCAGGTTTTCTTGGGGCTCCGGTATTCCGCTGCTGTCTGGGGAAGAGGAAGCCATGGCACTCCAAGTCACCCGAAACATGAAAATAAGGCCACAGTCAGTGTGGCAGGCGCAAAGCCTGTGCCCTTAGTCACTGCTGCAGCCTCCAAGCTGGGTCTGAGGCCAAGAACAGCTCTTGGAAACATCGGTAACAAAGTCAGTGAGCAGCTGCAAGCCAGGGTGCCCCTGAAAAAGGAAGCATGAACGTTGGCGACTAGAAAAGTTACTGCTAAAAAACTACAGAAACCTCTAGAAAAAGTGCCTGCGTGTGTGCCAGAGCCTGAGCTAGTGCCTGTTAAGGATGAAAAACTTTCTCCTGAACCCATTTTGGTTGATACTCCCTCTCCAAGCCCCATGGAGACCTCTGGATGTGCCCTTACTGAAGAAGAAGATGTGTGTCAGGCTTTGTCTGATGTCATTCTGGCTGTGAGTGATGTGGACGCAGAAGACGGAGCAGATCCAAACCTCTGTAGTGAATACGTGAAAGATATCTGCGCTTATATCAGACAACTTGAGGAAGAGCAGGCAGTCAGACCAAAATACCTACTGGGTCGAGAAATCACTGGAAACATGAGAGCCATCCCAATTGACTGGCTCGCACAGGTTCAGATGGAATTCAGGTTGCTGCACAAGACCATGCACATGACTGTGTCCGTTATTAATTGGTTCATACAGAATAATTGTGTGCCTAAGAAGATGCAGCAGCTGGTCAGAGTCACTGCCGTGCTGATTGCAAGCAAATGTGAAGAAATGTACGCTCCAGACTTCAGGGACTTTGCCTGTGTGATTAACAACACACTAAGCACCAGCTCAGGCAGATGGAAATGAAGATCCTAAGAGTTTTGAACTTTGGTCTGGGTCGCCCACTCCCCCTGCACTTCCTTCATAGAGCACCTAAGATTGGAGCGGTCGATGTTGAGCAGCATGCGTTGGCCATACACCTGATGGAGCTGTCTATGTTGGACTATGATACGGTGCACTTCCTCCTTGAATTGCAGCAGGAGCTTTTTGCTTAGCACAGAAAGTTCTTGATAATGGTGAATGGATGCCGACTCTGCGGCATCACCTGCTGTACACCGAAGAGTCTCTTTTTTCTGTAATGCAGCACCTGGCTAAGGATGTAGTAATGGTCAGTCGTGGGCTGACAAAGCATATGGCCATCAAGAACAAGTGTGCCACCTCAGAGCATGCTAACATGAGCACTCCAGTGCAGCTAAATCGTACATTAGTTGAAGATTTGGCCAAGGCTGTGGCAAAGGTATAACTTGGAAACTTGAATACAAATAAAATTGGCGCCATGTACCACTTGTCCATACCAAAAAAAAGGCTTGTGTTCTTTGCTGTTACCATGAAAAGTTGCTTTCTGCTATGTGCTGTGCTGCTTTGGACCCAGCTGAACATAGACTGAAACCTCCAGTAACTGTGAGCCAAATAAACCTTTCCTTCCTAAAAAAAAAAAAAAGACTGTCTCAGAAAGACAAAAACAAAGAGCCTGGGGAGATAGTTCAGTAGAGTAAGTGCTTGCCGGGCAAGCACAGGGTCTTGAGGTCAAACCCTGGTACTGTTTAAAAAAAGGACAAAAACAAGTCCACAAATAAAATCTTTTTGACCCAGTTCTACATCCACAACAGATAACTTTGCTACTTATTTGCTTTATGTCCTTTTAGTTTCTTACATAACAGCTATAAATGTGCATTCTTTCTTATACAAAATGTACTGTCCTTTTTACACTGTCTTGTAACTTTGTTAATTCTAGGTATAATTTATCATACCAATCTATACAGAGGAATTTTATTTTATCAGCTACATACTATTTCAATGTGATAATTGTCATTTTGCTATGATATACTGTTGCTGTGAATGATTATTAAATGTATTACTTTGTACATTTCAAGTATGTTTGTAGGGTAAATATCTAGGTATAGATCTCTTAGCTCTAATAATGTATATTGGCTGCATTTTTATGAATAATCTACTGTCTTCTCTGGGAGAAGTATTATTTGGAAGATAAGGGTGAGAGACTTGTAGGAAGTGACATGTACAAAAATAAATGATGAGATTTGGTGATTTTAGCTTCCTGCTTAAGGTTCTGGTCTAAAATAACTTTTTTTTTTTTTTTTTTTTTTTAATGAATTAAGGACAGGGTGTACAAAATCTCACTACATAAATAGGACTCCTAATGATTCTCCTGTTTTCAGCCTCCCAAGTGCTGAGATTACAGGCGCACGCCACTGTGCCTAGTCTCAGTGTGCCCCAGGGGGTGGGGCCAGCACAGCATGCCAGGGATCAAACCCCAGCTGCTGTGCTATGCCAAAGCAGGTGATTTAGTCCGCTGAGCTATCAGGCCGGCCCTCAAAAGAACTTTTAACAGTGTAGTATTTTCTTCCCTGCAATATTTAAGACATCATCAGGTTGTCTCTAAGGGTGACTAGTTAGTTACTGTACTTTTATTACCCACACTGCTGTATTTGCTGGAAGCCTATTGTCAAAGATTATTTCTTTGGAAGGCAGTGAAGTAAGGAACAGTGACCACAACAAGCTAGTGTTGAAAGAATATGAATTTCACAGTAACTTTTGTAAACACCTTTGGAGTAACACCTGTAGACCTTTAACTTTACAATAGGCTGCAGCTCACAGTTTCAAAGAAAGCCAGAATATTTGGCTAGTAGCCTATTTCAATTATCAGTGGGGTGGACTCCTCCTGTCGTAAATCCATGAATGGTTTTAACAGATCGGTCTTCTCTGTGCAGTGCATTGTATGTTGTGGATCTGAAGAAGTTTAGAAAAATAGCTGCTGGAGACAGACTAAGGGGACAGTACCAAGGTCTGAGTCAGGATCCCAACAGCCTTTCAAATCTGGATCAAGTAAGTACCATTTTTTTATGGTTAACCATTTCTGTGATGGAGGGTACACTATTGTGTCAGAAAATGCAGTATTATTTGTATCTCAGTTCTCTACTCAGTAGTGGCGGGTGTTTTCATGGAAGGGGTCTGTGTTGAAAGATAGAGAGACATACCTGACGTCAGGAGAAGGCACATCAGTGGTGGAAAACGCCAGTGACCTGCTGTGGGGTAGGGGAGAGCTGGCAAGAGGGCGCTGCTTTTCTGCAGCATACATTACCTTTGACTTTGTACTCAGCTTCATCTGATAAGTTTCTCCGATTGTGTAGTCAATTTGTTTTTCTGCTTTAAAAACTCAGTACCTCAGGACTTATAGTCTAGAATATGTCAGAAGCCGTAGTGTGATTTCAAGATAGCTGAATCACTTTATTAATGCCAAACATTTTCTTGGAGGTGAGGTTATAGTTGGTGTAGTTTCACACGTTAGGTATTTTGTTTTACCTAAGTCTACCTTCAAAATTCTTTAAACATTTATTGTAATATATAGCATCCATAAAGAATGCACAAACCAAAAATTATAATTATATCCATATTGATTTACATGAAGAAATTACTATAAAACGTGCCTGTAAACCATAAGAACTAGCAATTTACAAGCCATCCTTCATCGCTAAAAAAAGTAGCTAGCTAGCATCCTGACTTCTTTGGCAATCACTCCATTTACTTTCCTTTAGAGCTTTGCTCTGTAAGCATATATTCTTAAATGTTTTAGTTGAGTTTACCTGATTTTTCTCTTCTAATTCCGTGGAATCATAAAAGGTACTCTCTGTAGTCTGACTTTTTTGCTTAGGACTACATTGTGATTCATGCATGTTACTTATTTATTCTCCATTTTCCCTTCCTTCCTTTTTCCCTTCTTCCTTCCTTCCAGCGAGGCCTTGCCACGTTGCCAGGCTGATCTTGAACTCCTGGAGCAAGTGACACTCCAGACATACCTAACCCACACGTGGCCTGTTTTACTTATATGATGCTGCTGCTTTAGACATTCGTGCACTTGTATATACACATTTCAATTGTGTATACAACCATAAATGGAACCCCTGGTTCATCAGATATAGTATCTTTACCTTATTTAGATAATTCCAAACAAATTACCTTAAAAGTAATGGCATGGGGCTGGCAAAGTAGCTCAGCACACTAAGTGCCCGCTTAGGCAAGAGCAGGGACCTGGGTTCGATCCTTGGCCCATAGGCCATGCTGGCCTCTCCCCTGGGCACACTGAGCCGGCCACTGAGTCTGGGAGTGGTGACTTATGCATGTAATCCCAGCACTGGGGAGGCTAAAAACAGGAGGACCACTACAAGTCTGAGCTGCATAGTGAGACCCTGTATGAAATACAAGAAAAAGAAAGGAAAGAAAGAAAGAAAAAAGCAATGGCATTTATGCCTCTATCAGCAGTGTGAAGGTTACTGTTTTGACCAATATTTATTAATATCTAGGACTTGGGGAAAAATGGTGGAGTGGTAAGCATCAGCCAGTCAGCCTCTTTAGGATTCGGAGTCCAGACACTGGAATGAATATAACAACCTGGGGCAGAAAAGAGGGAGGGAGTGGATCCCCAGGAAGCATCTGAAAGAACTGCGAATGATCTTGCATCCCATGGTGACTTTCACTTGGAGAGTTTAATCTGTTTGTTTAATGTAATTCTTAATGAGGTAGGTTTTGTACCTGCCATTTCCTATCTCTTAGCTCTATATGCCTTATATCTTTTGTATTATTCCTGCTTTTACTGCCTTCCTTTGTATAGATATTTTTAGTGTATCATTTAATTCCCTTGTTCATTTTGCTATATATATTTTTAGTTATTTTGTGTTTGTTCTGATGATGACACACCTTAATTTATGACAATCTAGTTTGGAGTAAGCCCAGTTTAATTTCATAGTATCTGAGAATTACCTCCATTCCTTCTCCATTATACTACTATCATACAGTTTTTATCTTTACACCTTACATGCCCTCCAACACAGATTTATAATTGCTGTTTTGCAGTTGTCTAAGTTGTCATAGGAGGAAAGAAGGCTTTTGAAGGAAAAAATACACTGGCACTCTCATGTTTACCCACATACTCTCTTACTATGTGGATCCAAGTTAGCTCCCAGATGCCTTGCATTTTAGCCTGAAGGGTCCTGTGAATATTTCTGGCAGCTGGATTCTGCTAGCTGTGACTGAATTTCTCCTTCATTTCTGATGAATAGTTTGGCTGGTTATAAATTGTAATATGACAGATTTTCTTTTAGCATTTTGAATGTCTTTTTTCATAATCTTTGGCCTCTATGATTTCTGATGGATATATCTATCTATCTATATCTATCTATCTATTTTTGAGGTAGGGTCTCACTATGTAGTTTTGGCTACTTTGGAACTCACTATGTAGTCCAAGCTGGCCTTAAACTCACTGAAATCCTCCTGCCTCAGCTTTAGATGTACCATTAGGGAAGATCCCTTATACAAGACATTACATGGCTAGTTTTGTTTTCAAGATTCTTCTGGTAGTTCAAATATAATATGTTGAGGTATATTTCAGTCTGTCCTGCTTGGAGCAAGTTAGCTTCTTAGATGTGTTTAATTGTTTTTCATTAAATTTTGGAAAGCTTTTGTTATTCTAGCCTTCTTTCTGTACCTTTCCCTTCTCTGCCTTACCACTGTACCTTCTTCCCTTCCACCCTTCCCTCCTCCTGGCACTCCCGTTATTTATATGCTGGTGTGCTTGATGGAGAATCACAGGTCTCTGAGTTGCTGTTTATTTTTATCTATTTTTCTTTATTTTATTTTTTGCAATTCTGAATAGATAATGTCACATGACCTGTGTTCAAGCTTAGTGATTTTCTTGTCTGCTACACTATGCAGGCTTTATTATTTTTTAAACTTTTGTTTATTTCTTAGAATTGCAATCAGTTTTTGCTCATTATATTCACCCACCTTGTTGGTTAACTTGCTAACTCTTAATAGTTTATATATATTTCTTATTTTATACATTCATAATCATATCAAGATTAAAATAGATGACAGTTTTACTTTTTACTTTTCACTCTTGCACTTTAAAATATTGATCTCTACAGTTGCTAAAAGTATCTGTTTGTAAGCCAGGTGTGGTGTCACACACCAGTAATGCCAGCATCAGGAGGCTGGAGCAGGAAGATTGCCACACGGCTAGCCTGGCCTGCATAGTGATTTGAAGGCCAGTGTGTGCACAACACAGCAAGACCCCATCTCCAGAAAGCAGGGAGGGAGGAAGAGAGAGAGCACAAAAATACCATATTTTTGGATAAAAATGCAAAATGTTGACAGTGGATACTTGATTCTGAGGGACATTTTCAGCATTTCTCAGCTAAATATGTTTTCTATGTAGACTTTTGTGGTTACGTCTCATTCATACTAAAGAAGTTTCTCTTTCTTAGTTTGCTCATTTTCAAAACTAATGTTAAAAATAGTGTAGTATGTTAAACATAATTCCCTGAATTATACCATTTACTTGTAGTTAGTTTGCCTAAAACAGGCCTTATTTCTTTCTTGAATGTGAATTCTAAAATTTTCTTTTTATTTGAATTGTGCATCCAACCTCTTTACTAATTTCCTTTCATTTTGGTTTTGTTTTGTTTTTGGAGACAGTTTCCCTGCGTAGGTCAGGCTGACAGGAGCTCGCAGCAGATCCTCCTATCTGCTTCTCCCGAGTGCTGGGATCACGAGGATGTGACTCCATGTCTGGCTATCTTTTATCACTGTATCAATATTTGTATTAGGTTATTTCTAACTTTGCTGACATGTCATTTAGTTGTTTGCAGTAGCCTTTGCCTATCTCTGTTTTGAGATTAATGTAAATATAGCAATATGCTAGGATGTTGAGTGTGCTGCCTAACTGCTTTTTTAACAAATGGTACCAAGCGCTACTAGTTATCTTGTGAGATTCTGTGGGATTGCTATGGACAGCTTTCTGTTATTACTATTATTATCAACTGTGTATTTTATTGTTACAGGGTCTCACTACGTAGCTCAGACTCATAGTGATTCTCCTGTTTTCTGCCTCCCCAGCATTGAGAAATGTAGGCGTGTGCCACCATGCCTGGTCTTGGTGACTGGCTCAGGTGGCCCAGGGCTTGGGCCCTGTCCCTGTGCTTGCCAGCAGGTGCTTAAACTGCCGGACTCTCTCATGGCCCTGACAAGCCTTAAAAATTCTGACATTTTTTATTTGTACTTTTTTTCCTTGATCAGCTCACCAGGAATTAATTGGCTCTTTCAAAGAACTAGTTTTAAATGTCTTTTCTGTTTGTTTCTTTTATATTTGATTGATTTTTGTTCTTTATTGTTTCTTTTTTTCTGTCTTCTTTTATTTAGGTTTATTTTTTTTTCCTAATTTTTTGAGAGTTTGCTTAATGAATTTTTAGTTTTTTCTAATGTATGCTCTTGAAAATTTCAATCCTGTCTTTAGCTGTGCATACCATATGCTTTGTTTGTTTATGACAGGGTCTCGCTATGTAGTTCAGGCAGGTCCTTCACTATGGTGCACGTTATGGCCCTGAGCTTGTGGTGATCCTCCTGTCTTAGCCTTCTACGTGCTGGGTTCAGAGGTAGGAGCCACTGTACAGCTCAGGATATCTCTTGTTGCCCTTAGGGTTTCTTACTTGACTCACTCCCAAGTTATTATGTTGGTTATTCATAATGATTGTGTATGTCCATCATGAGGAGATGGTACATTTACATAAACAGATCCCCACAGAACCCCCTTCTTCCAGCTATTGGTCTTTTATCCCAAAAGATCTGTCTCCTTATTTCTTGTCTTTTTTTTTTTTTTTTTTTTTTTTTTATACAGGGTCTTGCTATGCAGTTTGGATTTGTAGTGACTCAACGTCACAGGCTCTCCAGAGCTGGAGCATAGCGTGTGATACCAGGGCTCGAGCTCTGGTCCTTGTGCTTGACAGGCAGGCACTTAGATGGCTGAGCTGTCTCCCTAGCCCTTCTCATTGCCT